CAACGTACTTTTCATTGTTATCCATTTTCTATTACCAAACATCACAATTTGTATGTAATGCTTGCATTGGATCGAACTAAGTATGTAACCATTGAACTGCAACATTCTCTTTATACGTAAGGACGCGTAGCACATTGCAGCCTTATAGTTACACGACCGCCAAGAAGAAAATTACAATCATACATCGTATGGTTAATATGCCAGAAACTAGCTGCGCTTCCGAAAGCATCAATGTAATGACAAAGTATCAGGCCTGCTGCCATAAATCATTCTGGTGGTCGACCTTGTGGTGTACACAAGGGGGGCCTCATGCAATCCTCCACCACCACCACCATTGACCCTTCACGTTCCATAGCCTCAAAGATGCTTCTGCGTCTTTTGGCTCTATTATTGGCTCCCTACTTGACAATGAACAAAGACCACCCTTCATAAAGCACCACGCTTACAAACATAAAGGTGCCTGTGTCTCTAAACTTTACAATCAAACGTGGGGTCTTTAATAGAAAAAACTGCTCGGCGGGGTCAAAGGAATCTTGTGTGTAAGTTTCACGTTCATCGTGGCCAATCCCAGATTTCGCAATGCCGCCACCAGCCAAACTGGATCTGGGGGTCGACCTCTTCGACAACGACGACCGAAAAAATATTTTTTGGGCTAGTTGCGACATTGAACGTGAAACTTTCACACAAGGTCCTGTTGGCCAAGCCGAGCACATTGCTCTAATAAAAACCCCACGTTTCATTGTAAAGTTTGGAGATACAGGCGTATTTATGTTTTTACTATGCTCATCTCGCAAGAAAGAAAAAATATCCCTGAATTGAATCATAGTGCCTGCCAGTGCACTGCTTGATAGGTGTGAAAAGTATACGTTAAGTGATGCACTCGATTGCACTCCATATCAAAGCAGCATATGAGCAGTGCAAGGTAGTGCTAGCCTCTATATAAGTAATGCAAGGCAGTGATAGGCAATGATAGGTAGTGATAGGCAGTGCTATTCTCTCTATTAGTAATGCAAGGAAGTGATAGGCAGTGCTACTCTCTATATACAAGCCGCAAGGCAACGATAGGTAGTGCTAGGCAGTGCTATTCTCTCTATTAGTAATGCAAGGAAGTGATAGGCAATGCTAGTCTCTATATTAGCAATGCAAGGCAGTGATAGGCAGTGCTACTCTCTATACACAAGCCGCAAGGCAATGATAGGTAGTGCTAGGCAGTGCTATTCTCTCTATTAGTAATGCTAGGAAGTGATAGACAATGCTATTCTCTATATTAGCAATGCAAGGCAGTGATAGGCAATGCTATTCCTTCTATTAGTAATGCAAAGCAATGATAGGCGATGCTAGTCTCTATATTAGCAATGCAAGGCAGTGCTATACAGTGCTATACGGTGCTATACGGTGGCATACGGTGCTAGGCTCTAAGCTAGTGGTGCAAGGCAATGATAACATTGAAAGCCCCCATCACCATAATAGCTCAATAGTGCCCCACATGACGGCTTACAAGAGTCATGTTTTATTAGCGAAACGTGGACGTGGCCCACTCAATGATACATAAAACGTTTACTCTCCATTGTCGTCTGATGACACGTATTCTCCATCCCGTAATGTTGCTTGATATAACAATTTTGAATCGGGTGGGCCATTACCAGTTTGGCCGGATAGCTTGTTAACAATCGCTGTTTGCATTCGTTGAACGGCTTGATGATCGATACTTTCATCATCACTTCCTTTCCCTAGCATCGTGCGCTTGTATAGCCATGCCCAATAGCCACCCTGTCGTCTGAACTCATCCCGCATCGAGGGATCTGGGACCTTGAATTTGTATGCCTGAACCAATCGATACAGCGTCTATTGTTTTCTAATCTTAATGATGGATCGTAGTCATAGCAGCACTAAAGGATACATACCAAGCAATAGGTCAAAGCGATCATATTCATTGATACTATGTCACAGTCTCCTTGTAGCCTACACGCACCCGTCTTTGTGTTGTAAAACACAATATGGATGAGTTCACCGAGGGCCTCATTTTGCAATAGTTCACCATTTGAACGAAAACCAGTCCTTGCAAATCTGTTTTCCTTAGCTTAAGAACATACACCTATCCATTTCAACGTACCTAGCTCCATCGACGAGATAACGATATTGCTGTTTAGATCGCTCCTTGCAAGGTGGCGGCATATTCGTACGATCAAATTCGTATGACAACAATACTCTGCTCATGCTGGATTGCAAAGAGGAACGTGTGTTGTTGATGGTATCCGCAAACTAGTATCAATCAGATCTAGCCCCGGTTCAGAGATTTTGGTGCATACTTACTATCTTTTTACTCTCCTTGGAGACTATCAACCTTTTTTTGTCATTATCTTCCCACCTTTTGATAACTCTGCATAGCCTTTCACATTCTGTATCACATTCAGCGTTTGTTGGGAACGCGTTTTCACGGTATAAAAACTGACGAGCGCCCTCCTTCAAGTGGTTGATGTCGCTCTTGCTCTCTGTAATACAGAAATAGTGTCGGCCATCATCGACATCTTTCACTTGTAGCTGCTGTCGTGGCTCCTTAGCTCCGTTTTCAACTTGATCAATGCTATTTAAGATAGTTAAACCTTGGCGAAATTAAAGTATGGTTTTATTTCACGTATGAAACAATCAAGGTTCATGCTTTACATACCTCTCCCTTTCACTCGTATCACTTATTGAGTCGCTGTTGTCTTCTGCTGCTGATGTACAAGCTTGAGAAGGTGGGGGCGTTCGTAACGGATGAGAATTTTCGCTGTCATTATCATGGTTGCTACAATCAGCAAGAGCTGGACGCCTGCCAGGGACATCACGTGCATTCCGTTTTTTATTCTTTGCAGCTTCAGTCGAAGCTAACTCGGTGCAATGAATAAGCATGTATTCAGAACGCTTTTCTTTTTCATTAACCTTGTTGGTTGTGTCGTTTGCTTGACATATCGAGTGAGGGGGTATAAGTGTGTGTGGGAAGAAAAGAGTAAAAACGACCCACAGCACCCAAAAGGATGTTTCTACTTCACACGAGAAAATATTGACACGGGTCTATCCTTCTCTTTCCTTCCTTCTTTCTTTTAAAGCAAACATAGCTATTATAAAAAAGCTATTCACTTCTTTACATGACCAAGGAACATAAAAAAGGTACCATCGCATAGCATACTACAAAGGATGGCAATCCCTTGAGCGATTCCTTCATGCAGATTCACGTGATCGGAACCCCGATGTGACCAACGGCATTCCAAACAAACGTAAAAGGGCATCTATTCACCAGGGTGAAGGAAGCGATGATCGTACACAACCCCCGAGAGGCACATTATCTTCATTGGAACGTAAAGCAGCTTCTGTCGCATTTGATCTTAATCTTTCAGGTGCTGAGTATACAAGGTGCATTTTCTCCTTATGAATACTACATTGTTTGTTTAACTCTTTACATGATTCAGGGTTGTGGAGCTGGTTCAAGATGCGTTTGACGAAGGGAAAGGATCTCGCGACGACACTGCATTGTCCGTGAATACGTTAAAAAAGATCAAGACTAGGCTACAACAGGACGCTGATCCATGCTCGATAGTGGTTCGTGAATATTATTACATTACTTGGCTATGATGCTATGTCCCTTGATTCACCTGATTACACAGCCTTTCACGCACAATAGCATTGACGTCTCCCAAGCGCCTGATTTTCCTACAAGTCACATTCGTGAATTCAATGATACTGTTGGCCCTTTGACCCTCGTATATCGAAATATTCGTGATTTGTGCGAGCTTCTATTCTCTCATCCTGCATTCGCAGAGACTATGATTTTGAAACCGAAAGTATATATGAAAAGTGGATGCCGGGTTTATAAAGGACTTGATTCCGGGAGATGGTGGGAGGAACTTCAGGTATGTATGGTATCGTTGATGAAAAAGTAATGTTCTTAAGCAATTGTATACATCTCAGGAGCAGCTTCCAGGCTACGTGATTTTATGCGTTATGCTTGCATCAGACCAAACATTGATTACCGGGAACATGCGCGACAAAGCTTGGCCAATCTACTTGAAATTGGGTAGGTGGTCGTGTATTCGACACTTCTATATTTCAACAGCCATCCAATTCACATGATAAGGATAGGGAATATGCCTGCTGATATCCGTGAAAAGAGCACAAACCGACCAAGTCGTGTATTAGCATACCTTCCATGTATCGATTGGCCGGGGACACCTCCATATTGGTTTATCAAAGCCAAGTATGCCACAATCCATTATTGCATCTCGCTTATACTAAAGCCATTTCAATACGACGACGACCACATGTAAGGATTACAATTTTGTTTTTGTTGTACATTCGAATGACCATGCTATTGAAGGATAAAATCGTATTCCATGAAAGGACCGAATGGGTGCAAGTACAAGTGTGTTCCGGCTCTTGCGACATACATCGCCGATTTACCTGAGCAGTGAGTAGATGGCATGCACATTCCTATCACCTAATTGCTAAATGCCTTAACATAAATAGGAGGATACTTACCTGTATTAAGAGTGCAAGTACCAAATGCTCATGCCCGAGATGCGAGATCCCTACAACCGAATTTCACCTCTATCACCAAACACTACCTATACGTACCGAGGTGAGTATGATAAAACTACACAAGAAAGTCATTAGCATGAGGTCTGTCGTACGAAAAGACAAAGAAGAGAAAAGACATTCATTCCATGCTATACAGGTAATACAGCCACAACTCAACAATTTTGTACATAGATTAACATGTACATCCTCGTAGAACGCTTTTTGGGACGTTCCTCTTTTTGATATATATACATCGCTTACAGTGGATGATCTTCATCAACTAGGGGGTGTTTATAAGCATTTACTTAAGTGTTTGGAATCATTCCTCAACGAAGAGGCTGACGGCAAGACCAAGATCAAAATGATCAATGCAAGGTATTTTGAAGAAGAGCAGCGAGCAATGAATAGCTTCTAACTATGTTTCAAAAGATCCAAGATATTGCCACAATATAGTAATTTGAAACGATTCAACAATGGGTTCCTGCTTAGCTTTCTCAAGAATCCAACATTCAATGAGCTGTGTGCTCATATGGCGGTATAGTAGCTGAATGCAAAAACCTACACCTCAATCATTAACAGCATAGATAGGTTGTCATGTGCCTGATTCACGATTTGATACCTCTTCAAATGGCCCTTACTTTTCGTTATTTCATTGACTTCTTTCAACAAGCGACCGCCAAGGAACATACAGAGGATTCACTTGCGGCGATGTCACGATCTTTGAAGAATTATTACAAATACAGTGCGATTATGGAACAATTCTCTGCTGTAAGTGGTCGATATTAAGGTTATTAAGGTACCAAAAAGCATGTTTTAACGTTGAATACTGTATCTGTTTATATATTTCAGAGTGGGATGAGCTTTCCAAAGAATCATGCTCTACTCAAATATGCTGGTGACATCCGACAATTTGGCACCATATCCAGTTTCAGCACTACCCATTCTGAAAGACAGCACAAACGTGATTCCAAGGATCCTGCGAAGCATGTGAACCGCGCCAATTGTAATGCTACAAAGCAGGTATGAAAGTGAACGTTTCAGCAATTCACATTTAACATGTTTTTGCTGCCAGATGAGCGATTACGTATTCCATCGCGATTTGTTGGATGATACTTACTATAATGAAGATGCGCATATACCAGACAATACTTGTCCACCAAAGTCTCTTTATACGCTATGCTCAAAGGTATCTTCAGCACCTGTCACCATCATGAAGCTTACCAAAACAAGGCCTGATTGCCATGATCTTGACGCTCTCATTAAAGTATACATTGAAGAACGATTTAGACAGCAACCTGCAAGCGAAAGAGAAAGTACATGGGTCTATGATTGCACGAAGGTATACATGACATGTTCTGATCAATGACTCTCAAGATGTTAACGAGCTTAACAGGTTTATGCATACCAGCAATTGACGGTTGTAGAGGTTGATGAGGATGATGGATATCGCAAGTCCTTTATACGAGCACACCCTTCTTTCTTTGGAAATGCGCGATTCGATTACGTTGCATTGAAGGATAATGGTGTTGGACAAGCATTGTTGTTCTTAGAGATAACGCTTTGTGGAAGGGACGAGACACTACAGCTATGCCTATTGAGAAGATTCACATCGATGCCTGGTCGTCATGCTAGTGGATTACAAACGTTGCATGTAGAGGATGATTTGAAGATTGTTTCGCTTGACCTAATTCTACGTCCTATACACGTTGTTCCCGAGTTTTCAACCATGTATACGGCAGTCGATGGATCTAAGCTCTATCACCAATATCTCCTTAATCATGATGTGAATCGATACGAATGGTCTCGCGGAGTAAACAATCGTTTACACATCCAAAAAGGCGATCGTGTCAGCTGGGAAATCAAAGGTGCTAAGAGGATCCCGCCAGAGTATAAGCAATACGACAGCGATGGAAATAATCAAGAACACGGCAATATGAAGTATAAGGGATATAACGATGAAGAGGAGGATCATGAATACATGCCGTAATAAGATTACTACTTATTAAAGCATGCATAGCTAGCATTGATGGCAACATTTCCATTCATTCTTCATTGCACATTGCGTTACTATATAGAGCCTAGCACTGCCCGATCATTGCCTTGCGCTTGTATATAGGACCTAGCACTACCTCGCATTGCCGATCAATTTTACTATAGAACCTATCACTGCCTACCATTCCCTTGCATTACACTATAGAGCCTAGCACTGCCTAGCACTCCATATCACTACCTTGCATTACACTATAGAGCCTAGCGCTGCCTAGCACTGCATATCACTGCCTTGCATTAGACGATAGAGCGTAGCACTGCCTATCATTGCCTTGCAATGGTATATAGAGCCTAGCACTACCTATCATTGCATTGCAATTGTATATAGGACCTAGCACTACTTTGCACTGCCGAGCAGTTTTACTGTAGGCGCCTAGCATTGGATGGAACAACAGTGCAACATGACGAATTTCTTGCACTTAAGTGCGAGGTATTGCCTTTCTATTACGTTCGAGTGCTTTGCGATGATATTTTTTCTTTCTTGCGAGATGCTGTAAGCATGATGCTATATGAAGAGTGGTCTTCGTTCAATGTCAAGTCGCTGGACCCTAGCAGAGCAAAAGATGCAGAGGGACCTCTTTGTGTAACTCAGCTACTTTGCATGACTAGAAGGATGGAAGGATGATACTGTATACTGTTGACAATATCCCATACATTGCGAGCTAACAGCCATTTCCTCACAATCGGCAATGTTGCCCATTCTATGACAGTGGAACGATGCTCCTGCTTCAGACATTCATTTCCATGATTGGATTATGTTGATCCGAGTTGATTTGGTTGAGCTACGCTCATACAAGGTTACTTCAGTTGAGCAACATACAGCATGGTTAGATGTGTGGATTGATGTAATCCCTCTTTGGCTGTATCTCGATCAAATCAACTCGGATCAACATAATCCAATCATGGAAAAGAATGTCTGAAGCAGGAGAATCGCTCACATGTGATAGAGTGGACAACAGTGGCTATTGTGAAGAAATGGCTGTTAGCTCGCAATGTACGGGCTTTTGTCAACAGTATACAGTATCATCCTTCCATCCTTCCAGTCATGCAAAGTAGCTGAGTTACACAAAGAGGTCCCTCTGCATCTTTTGCTCTGCCAGGGTCCAGCGACTTGACATTGAACGAAGACCACTTCCCATATAGCATCACGCTTACAAACATAAAGATGCCTGTATCTCCAAACTTTACAATGAAACACAGGGTTTTTAATAGAGCAATGGACTCGGCTTGGCCAACAGCACCTTGCGTGAAGGTTTCACGTTCAATGTCGCAACTAGCCCAAAAAAATATTTTTTTGGTCGTCGTCGTCGAAGAGGTCGACCCCCGGATCCAGTTTGGCTGGTGGCGACATTGCGAAATCTGGGATTGGCCACGATGAACGTGAAACTTTCACACAAGGTGCTGTTGGCCAAGCCGAGCACATTGCTCTAATAAAAACCCCAGGTTTCATTGTAAAGTTTGGAGATACAGGCGCCTTTATGTTTGTAAGCGTGATGCTATATGAGAAGTGATCTTTGTTTAATGTAAAGTAGTATGACTATAATACAGCAAAAGATGCAGAGGGCGTGTTTATGTAACTTGAGTCATTCAGCACAGGCGATGCATGATTCTTGTACACTATTTAGGAATAGTTCAAAATGCCAGCTAATAACCTTAGTCTTCCCATTCTCCATTGTTGTCCAATTCAATGCATACGAACGATTCTCTTTGCTCCAGCTCAGCATGCCCATCATTGAACTTTCATGATTCGAGCTAACCTGGTAGTAAGGTAATGGCTGTTGTTGGATCATCATTATCATGTAAAGTGTAAAATGGCACACACCCTTTTGCTATACGTTAGGATCATTTCTTTTATTTACGTGTATCTATTGTCTATCGTGAGGGTGATGATGACGATGGGTGGATGGTGTGCATAGGGTCATTGAGTGGCCTCAGTGTAATAGCAGTAGGGGATTTAAACTTGAGGGACAGCAGCTCCACGACTTGAGACAACGCTTCTCTCCTCTTTCACCCTCCTCTGCTTTTATCCCATTCACGACATCTCGATCAAGGTAATGTATTATAGAAGAGTGCTATTGTTAGCTGTGAGGTATTAATGTAGTTCTGAACATGCATTGTCAGGGAGAGTGAGTGTGTCCAAGTGCCGAGGAATGAGCGTGGTTGGTGGTTGGTGGTTGCCATGGCGATATCGTTGCTTCCTCTTGTTCGTTGCTATTCCCGCTCTATGCTTGGTGTCAACAGGTACATTCAGAGTCCAATGTTGCAGTGTAACTTGTTCCATTGACGTGTTAGCTTGTATAGAGGGCAAGTTTGGTTTCAAGACGTTGGCTGGTTTGGCGTTTTGTTTCGGCTCAACACTACTACACCATGGTTTTCGGTTTCCAGTAACCAACAACAACGGGTCTTTGTGTATATGGAAAAGGCAAGTACAATGAAACAAGCAATGAAAAGGGTGTTTATTGTGCGTGTGCTAATAATGAATTGAATAGGTTTCTTTGGTCAGGCAATGCAACTTGGGGGCATGATCATCATCTCTTTGGGTTCAAGTCCCAGCCTGTATCAAGTGGCCGCTGCGTCGCTCTGCACTAGCCAAGCGTGCTGGAAAAGCTTCTTGGAGCGCGTTTAGGGCTCTATAGGCCTGCGTTTGAGTTGGTGGGTCGATGACGATGGATTTTTGGAAGAGCATGGTCACCGTGTTGAGGTAAAAGGGGATTTGCAACAGCTTGTGAATGTGTTTAACCAACATGCTCTTCTCGTGATAGGCTCGTTCTTTCCCTTGAGGATTTCTTTTCGTGAGGTGGGAAAATGATTGGAAGGATTGGGGATCATTCTTTCTTTGGGGAGGATGAATGAGGACAACGATGAGCCTGGACTCTACGTAAGTGATGTTTTTCCTTGCCATGGATCGAACTGGCCTTGCGTGATTCGTGCAGTGCCTTCTCAAGAACAAGGGATCGCCCAACGTTGCTCGTATGGTGGTGATTTGGTTTGTGAATTCCTTCTGATTTGCTTTCTTCCTTTGAGAGGATCGAATAATGGTATACCAAATCGTCATCATTCCCGGTATCTGATGGTCTAACTTGGCTGCTTTTTACTTATAGAGACGACAATTACGATGATTACCACATTCACAACAATGACAATGATGACGACAACGAGATTCAAAAGGAAGCCTGCAAGATCCCATTCTTTTCAACTTGTGTATTTTTGGATGTTGGTGTGACGGATGAGATTGAGGACTGGTGACGAGTACGAGTAGGAATGATGACGGAGGACGACTACGACGATGGTGGTGGCAATGTACAGTACATAGCAAGATAGCTAGATGAAATAAAGCATTGTTTATTTATTACACGCTTATTGGAGTTTGCTAGCTTGTGGATTATACTATTGCTTCGAATCCGAATTTACGTAGCCCAACATGCCGCTTTTCATTGCCTACGCGTTACACGACTCCCAACCAGCCAATAATGCAACATTGCCGATTATGATCACGTGTATGTTCAATCCTAAACGTCTATTGATTGCAAAGATGAAAGGGAGAATAAAACCTGCACGACGGTACAAACGTTGTTCTATTTCTCTTGGCATCGTCCAACTATCTACTAGCAATGAATAAGCAAATGACAAAGATAGGGGAATGGATGAGCATAAGGTGGCACTTGATGGATGATGGCCGATTATATGCATGATAGGTGAAAACACAGAGCTGGATGAGGATGGCTGCGCATGGTTGGCAGGTTGAACAAAGAAAGGTAATGGCAGTTGCCATGGAATAGCGTGTAAAGTGGGGTCATGGGATGCACCGATCAAGCATAGTGGCCAACTTGTAAGTAGATACATGCAGCTGATCTTCTACATATTCTACCAAGTCGAGTTAACCGCATCAATTGGGAAGGTTGAGTTTCTTTGTATGAAATCCCACCGACAAGTCATGTTTCGCTTGGGCTTCATTTCTTTCCTTTTACCATATCATTGCACTCAGCCCCTCACACACACCACAACGAATGACCGCTGTTGAGAACATTAGCTGGTCCGAATTACTCAACAACACCAATCACACAGCTCAACATGGTAATGACGACAGCCGAATTGCCACGGCAACCGAGACTTTGCGGCAAGCAGCATACCAATTCGCCAACGTCCTCAATGAGCGTGCCAAGCTTTTAGCCAACAGTGCCCAGTTTGATACAGCGTTACGTGATGCAGCAGCAATAAGAGCTCTATTGCCGGGGTCAGGGCTTGGATACCTGTGTATGGGAGACGTGCACTGTCAACAAGGACGTTATGCAGCAGCGATTTCCATATATGATCAAGGACTTGAAGCAGTGCCTGAATCGGATCAATATTATCAGCAGCTTCAACAACATCGAATGACAGCAATAGCCAACAACGATAAACGTGTCGACTTCATCAGCCGGTTGCCATTGGATATCGTCATCACCAATATTATACCAAGGCTGGAGCGCAGGTGCTATTCAGACTTACCACCTGAGCACCTTTATGTATCACATGCATGGCAGGAGCGTTTCTTGCAGCAACCTCACGGCTTGTACTTTAATTTCGGCGAAGAGACGGAGACCTTCAAGACGGGCCATGATCAGCTCATCCGATTCGCACCCTATGTTCAAACGCTAAAAGGCGAAATGTTTGATGATGCTCAATTGGACGATCTTTTTTCTCGAGCACAATTTTCCAATCTTAAGGAGCTAGGCATATTCTGTGAGTATGGATTGCATCGCTTGTATATGTATGGATTCTAATAACACTTCCTCCTTCCATTAGGTGAATATACATCCCCTTGCGCTCGATTATTAAATGGTCTACAATTGATTTCTGATTCATTGACACGCTTGTCGATTGATGGGTACAATAGTCTCCAATTACATGATATCCTGGAAGCATGTCCAAACCTTGTATCTCTGGCTATCGAGGATGCATACATTGATACGTTATCGCTGTCATCATCACATCATCCCAAAATCACACACCTAGCGCTTCATGACGTACCAGGCACAGATCTTGATTCTGATGAGATGGGTGATTTACTCAGCCGGTTTCCTTCTTTATTGTCATTCGAGATTACACCAATGCCTGAATCCCGTGCCTTGACGATTCTACACAAGCATTGCCCTTATCTACAGGTCCTTTATTTCGGGGAAAGAGGCCATCGCTTAGACAACGTTGATGTTCATCCACATCAAAAAGGAATCAAGTCGGCTCACCTGGGAGGCTATGGCGAAGACATCTATATGCAAGATGACCTGATCCAGTTCCTGTACTTGCACAGAGATTCATTGGAAGAGATTGTATTTAACGGCGATATCGATGTTGGCAACGATGCTTCTTGGAGAATCGAGAATGGAAAAGTGATACTGCAGAGGAACCATGGAGTACGTTTATCCCCTGAAAGTGACCCAACTCAATCAGCGGCGTCATTCGTGCGACTAGCCAGCATCAACTTTGCAGGTTCTGAGCCATCTTTATCTCTTGGTGTTTTTACGTGGTTGATATCGAATTCTCCCAATCTCAAAGCCATCACTATCAACGAATCATATCTTCAACCAGATGTCGCAAACGCCATGATCAAATTGAGGCAGCTTTCCAATCTAGAGATCGCTCAGCCGTGGAAAAGTGACGATCATCAAGGTATCATTCGGTTCTTGGAGCATCATATTGGAATCGGGAAAGAATCAACGCTCAAAGAAATCACCATAAGAACCAGGAGAATGACGCCTGAAGCAACATGGATACCTTTGATTTCCAAGCTACAATGTCTCAAGAACCTGAAGTTACATGCTAATTTCATCCCCACAGACTGCTTACGAGCCATGGATGAGATACGACGAGGCTGCCCAGCTTTAGAAGAGTTAACTCTCGGTGTGCGTGGTTGCGATATTGGTGACGGCATCATCAATTGTGTTTGTCAACATTCGAATCTTAAACATCTCAGGATTGGATCGGATTCGTTACCCACTCTCAGCCTTATCCTCATAGCCCTCTATTCGAGATTAGATAGTCTATACCTTCAATGTGATGTTCCCGAGAGAATAATGAAGATACTACGTAACAATGTGTCGAAAATTGTGATCAATAAAGCATAGTCAATCATGTACATATACATTTCCCATGATATCACATTTCTGGAAGAGTCAATCGAATCGCCTTTACGATAGCATCCAAATCCACTTGAATTAGCTGAGTTGAACGTTTTAGCTTTCAAACTACTTAATCAGCAAGTACTTGGATGATACACATTGAAGGTTCGCAAGAGAGTTATTGTAGCATTTGGCATCTTATTGTCCACGACGTTCATCATAATAACCATTTTTAAGGGATACGAGCTATTGTGCCTTGCCGATGGCGCCGTTTACAGTATGCCTAATACAGCGTGTACCCTTTGTGATAGCACGCAACACGACCTGTCAATTACAAGCTCTCATGAGCACTCGGCATTGTTAAATTTATTAGTCCCATTAACTGCTTCTAAAGGACGCGAGTACGTGTTTTCAATCCCCATTAGGTATAGCAAGAATCACCATTCATCAATGCGTGTGGTCAAAGTGTGTGTAACCAGTACTTCAATGCATCAATCATTGTAGGTGCAAACTCCACTGACATTGTTGTCTCTCTTCTTTTACCTTGTTTTACATACGCTCACACACAACGAATGACCACCGAGGAGAGCATTAGCTGGCCTGAATTACTCAAGGACACCAATGTCACAGCTCAACATGGCAATGACAGCAACCGAATTGCAGCAGCAACGAAGACTTTGCAGCAAACAGCCCACCAATTCGTCGAGGTGCTCAATGAGCGTGCCAGGCTTTTCTCCAACGGTGCTCAATTCGATACAGCGCTACGTGATGCAGCAGCTATACGAGCCATATTACCGAGATCAGGACTTGGGTACTTATGTGCAGGAGACGTGTATTGTCAACAAGGACATCATGCAGCAGCAGTTACCATATACGATCAAGGCCTTGAAGCAGTGCCAGAATCAGATGCCCATTATCAGCAGCTTCGACAACATCGAATGACAGCAATAGCCAACAACAACAAACGCGTGGACTTTATCAGCCAATCGCCATTGGATATTGTCATCACCAACATTGTACCAAGGATGCAGCCCAAGTTCTATTCTGAATCATCATGCGAATACCTCTTTGTGTCACGTGCATGGCGGGAGCGTATCTTGCAGCAACCTAAGGGCTTAAATTTCCACTTTGGCAAAAACGTCCACACATTCAAAAACGGGCACGTAAAACTCGTTCGGTTTGCACCCTACGTTCAGATCTTGCAAGGACATCTATGCGACCTTCATTTGGATGATCTCTTTCATCGGGCTCCGTTTCCAAATCTAAAAGAAATATGGTTCTACTGTAAGTATAAAACACTGCATCTAAATGATGAGAATTAATCATCTTGGTTCTACATATTAGGTAAGGATACAACTCCCCGTCGCCCATTTATCAATGGTCTAGAGTTGGTTGCCCATTCATTGGCCCGCATGGTCATTCTTGGTAGCTGCTCTTCTATTGAATTGCGTGATATTGTGGAGACTTGTCCAAACCTTGAATATCTGGAAGCGTGTGGGTTCGAAATCATCATGCCTTCGTCGTCTACAGCAAGTTATCCCAAAATGACACGGCTATTACTTTACGGCATATCAGAATCAGCTCTCGCCTATGATAATATGGTCGATGTCCTTAGCCGTTTTCCATCATTGTTATTACTCAGAATATCGCCAATGCCTGAATCTCGTCTTTTGAATGCCCTACAAGACCACTGTCCTTATCTGCAGAGGCTTTTTTATGGTCCCAAACGGCTTGCTTATACATTTCCAGACCCTTTGACTGTTTACCCGAATCGCAGAGGGGTGGTATCGGTTCACTTTGGTGGTGGTGGCTCCTGTGATCAAGACGATTTGATCCGATTTCTGTACCAGCAAAGAAATTCTTTGGAGATGATTGATTTTCATGCCAAGATTACAAAGGATGACGATGCCATTTGGGAAATATCAGATGGGAGAATATCGGAAAGCAATGATCGAGGAGGAACCTTTGATGATGATGATGATGATGATGACCCTTCACAACAACAATCAGAGACATCATTTGCGCGACTGGTCGACTTTGATTTCTGGGTGATGAACGAGACCCCATCTACGCCTTTCATGCAATGGATTCTATTGAACGCACCTAATATTAAGACTATCCGCATCCTTGATTCAAATTGTCAACCCGATATTGCAGCTGCCATGATCAACTTGAAGCACCTGTCCAAAGTGGTATTTGATACAAAAAGAGGCAGCATCGACAACATGGGGATCCAGCAGTTCCTGGAATACCATATTGCGACAATGGGTGACGCTTCAACACTTGAACAAGTCGTTGTGTACATGAAAGATATGTCTGATGTCGCGTGGATACCTTTATTGTACCGATTGAAACGTCTCAAGACTCTCATGTTACTTGCTGGCACCATTTCTGAAAATTGCGTATCATCAATGTATGAGCTATGTCAAGGCTGCCCTGCGCTCGAGGATTTAACCCTTGGCAAGGATGGGTCTGAAATGGCGGATGGTCTTTTGAAGTCTTTGCGTCGACATCCGAATCTCAAGTACCTTGGTGTTTCAGCAAGATCTTTATCCGAGAACGACCTTACTGCTTTGTGTGCATTCCGCACGTTAAAATACCTCTATCTTCAATGCCCCGTTCCAAAGTATTTGCTTGAGATATTACAAGACCATATACCGAATGTTGAGATTAATAGCGAATAATGTACTTTTCTCATGATAAAATCAACAGCTGCTTTTCTTTCATGGTTGTGCCTTTGTGTGTGAGAGTTGTTGTGGTTACTTTGTAATACGATCCTATGTATAAGTATCATAGGATTTGTATCCATCATCATCTACATTTCAAAAGTTTAATTGACTAAAATTCCTAATGTTTAGCTATGGATGACACCTCCTCATTCTTATTTTCCTATACTTTTATACTCTTATTTTAGAGACGCTATGATAAAATGATGCCTTTCCTTCCCCCTCCTCTTTCAACCATCGTCCGCTAAACCCAATAATCCCAAACGATCCACGTGATTGACATTGCATGCCATATTCCAAGAACAAATTGTAACCCATCACCCACTGTGTATCACAACAACAACCATATACTGATTCATCCATGCCGCAAAGACTTCCATGGTGGGTTCCACGAAGAGGTTTATATGAAAAAAGGAAGCACTGCGTATTTCTAGTTGCCCTGCTCCTCAAAGTATTTGACCAATGCTGTCGCTCCTTGACGGCACTGCACGTTGCACACATCATCGTAATAGCCTGCCTTTTGTGTCATCCAACGTATCCCATATGGAAATTCGAATGCAATCGGGTATCCCATCCTTCATGTCCTTCTTATCCAAGCCTCCCTTGCTTCCTCAGTTGTCGCTGCGTTTGACCATACACGCCCTTGATCATGCTAACATCCCAAAGCATTGTAGTAACCTTTGATTGTGGAGCACCTGTATATCTCAACATCAACGCCATTGTAACATCCAGCTGAAAGAGGTATACCTTAGTGAGAAGTTGTTTCTTCTTGTCAACGTACCATACCATCCTCCTTTTACCTAATACATGGGAGCAAACATCTCCTGTAGCGACAGGCACCCTGGTGCGCAAAAGGTGACGATCCATAACAACGTCGCCAAGTGGTGGATAACCTTGCAAAACCATATCCATAGTCCTCATCTTCCAAGCATCCAAAGATCCAGTTGTATGTTGTTAACTGCTTGCTGCTCCATCATTCCAGCGGACTGATTTGTTGCATTTCATGTATATCCTTTTGGTCGACAAGAAATTCGAGTACAGGTACCCGTTGCAAATGATGTTGTGGTGAGCATGGATCAGCTGAGAGTTGGGATTGTGAGTTATAGCCTTTGGAGTTGAAGCCATATCTGAACATGGTATCCTCCTGGATAGATCATAACAATCGAGCTTGAAAAGAACGCGATACCGTTGTTCTTTTTTGGTGGTCTCCCATCACGTTGTTGCTGCTGTGTATCCACTTTCCAAATTCCTCTCGCTTGGGCCTGATACTCATTGTTGATACCGTCGTTGTCCATTCCACAAGGTGCACCCTCGACCTCTCTCCTGAATCGGCTTAGTATCCATGGTCAACCAAGCACCATCGTTATCATCATGCGTCCATAATCACATCCAAGGTGTTACATCCGATCGCCATGGGCTCATGCGCCAAAGTTGACAATCCTGGTGATGATCTGGATTCAATAACGTGTGGCGATCCTCAAAGTGCAATATGGATTGATGGCGTATCACGTGCATGCAATGTTGAAAAGCCTTTCTTTTGCCGTTCGTCGTGTACGCATGAAAGAGACTCCTCGTGTGTTCCAACACTTGCTGATAAGGCGCCACCATCCGCCATCAATATCCATATCCCGTGTAGCTTCAATGCATGGTGAAAAAAGGTCAACCATCAGCCCACCTTTAGTAATACATCACCCCATCCGCTCGTTACCTGGACATCCAACATCAAAATTGAATAAGCGTTGCCACATCCAAACTAGAAATCCACAACTCGAGATAATGTCCTGCATCATAATCACGTGAGAAGGTTGCCAAGACTATGATATCCCATCATCATCATACCTTGGTAAATGGCTTGACACGTGGTATCATGAAGAGATGAGCATGTTTGTTGTATAGTGAATAAAGCTGCTGTATATGCATCGTCAACATGTTGCAGTACTGAGCCAAAAGCCTCTTGGAAACCATTCACTATAGATCAATAGCCATGAATGCCGAGCAAGGACACAGCCGTTGGCGTTCATTTACCTGTTGTTGAATAACAATGGATGAGTCGCATTGGTGCCCATGCACAGGTGCCATGTTGGGAAAGGAAGGAGTAGAGGAGAATGTCAAGTTGAGTGGAAAGAAGAGTATACCTAAATAAACACTGCCCCCTTTCCTCGTTTTCATCAGTAGCGTGTTACACATGTCATCAGTCATTCATTAAAGGCTCGTTCTTTGTTCCAGGCAGTAATCTTCGACATTTCAATAACTATAACCCACTATGGATAAGCGACAACTCCATGTATACATCATCGATAGCTTCGACTTTCCGTAAATCGATTTCGTCTGCACGATCCATCCAACTTCTAGATTCAAGCGGATATAAATCATCCAGCTTTGATAATAGATACCACCAAACTGCATTTGGATCGTTCATCCTTGGGATTTTGATCTGCATCATCCCCAGTACCCCATAAACATAGTCAGCTGGATCATAGCAACGTCGCTTGGAAGACATTAATGATATCAATAGATTTTGAAATCTTATCGTAGGTTTCGTATCAATGATACGGTAACTGTTGGATGTTCTCGCCCTCTCTATGCTTTCAATGTTTGATTTAACTCCATGGAATAAACGTCCTGGTCAACTGGTTAGCAATGTGAATGAATAACAATACAAGCATACCATGCAACGTACCGAAGTCTGAATACACAGATAAACGTGAGTAAAAGAACTCCTTTCCAAATTCAAGTATATCATCCACAGTAATTGTGCTGGTTTGTAGTTGGCGGGTGTCTGTTTCAGCTATAAACCGCACGCATCCCACAGGTAGAGCCATCTCCTGCCAGGTCCATACACGTTGCCACCATTCACTTTGGAAGAATATGTCCAAGCATTTAAGCAGTTGGGGAAATGTGATTTCACAAAGCTGCTCGTCTGATAGGTCTTTAACCCGTGTATCAGCGGAAATACCATTGATGCGACATAATTCCTTGACTTTGTAGACATCCAGCATTGGGTGGATTTCTTGTATCAGGCTTAGTTTGCAATCCACCATGGCAATACATTCAAGGCAGCAAGCATAGATATTGCCCATAATATCCAAGGGTGTATCGGTACGTGCACATAGGACATCAATCCACCAATAGCTCTCACGATGATTGTTGAGTAGTGCAAGTAATGCATCTCGCTTTTCAGGTCGCATCGAAACAGGGTTTACTGGTTGTCCTTCTTCATCATCCACGTATTTGCCAATGTCATTCCAGCAATACCGGTGGTCTTTTGTGAGGCCCCAAAGGTGCGACAACGCATAATAAAATGATGGAATACCTCCGGCTTCATTAATCATTTTGATCATGCGCTTTCGATGGTATGGGTCACTGGCTGGCCGTATAATTTGCATCTTCGCTTCATTATTTTCAGGTACATAGAGCAATAAAAAGTGCTCGTCGGCTAAGAGCGCACTAAGCCCCTTCTCGAAATATCGTTTAAGGCCATCATCCTCTAAACGGATATCAATCTAAATAAAGTCGTTAATGTCATTACTGTATCGAAATACGAGGATGCTATGGACATGCATACTTTGTAAGGATCGTTGTATTCATCAGCATCGCGCGTCATTACGTACAAAAATTGGGGGAAGGAGCGATGTAAGAATTGGTTACAGCGTGTGTTGCGGCATTTTTAGAGCCTTAGTGCGCTATGTTTTGTGCCACATGCAACACACCAAACAAGACACCTGAGTGGAAAAAAACGTTACCATACATGAGCAAACACCGAGCCATCTCCTATCCATAGCCCCCACCAAGAATACAATGTAATCCGGTACACAAAGCGATCGATTGATCAAGATACAGTCAAGTCTTAGGTACCTTGTATTGAGAAGTACATACAATCGACGTGGATTGATGAAGGTTCCCAAATGTCAAACTTCGGAAGAGATGCCGGGTCTCCCGTGTTTAGAATAGCGTATCTCATTCAGGGTTACACAAGAGATTGAGCTATCCCTAGCATACACAAAGGTCATCACGTATGGTGCATCACTAAGCTTCGTCATATTCATTCATATCGAATGTCAGCCGAGAAATGAATTAGAACGGCGTATATGTACAATAAACGTGGTGGCTACCAATGATCCCAAATCCCAACTTTGGTTGTCCATCATAATCTATCCCCAAGCCATCTCATTACGATTACATCCCAATTACCCATTCTCCTCCTCCACCCAATCAGCCATGTGTACAAGCAACCAACGATAATCATTCGAAAAGAAACCATATAACCAAATTACCAAACAATGCAAAAGCCCATTGATAAAGAAAAGTATATTCGGACGAAGACCTGATTATGCGGCTGCTAGTGTGAACATATCCAAATAATGGGGCTTGCTAAATCTGTGATCTCTTCCATTATCCAAACAAGGTGGTCATTGTAGCTGGCATGACTCCGATTTCCATATCCATCTCGTTTTGTGCCTGATTCTCATTCTTGGTATCCTCATCATCCAATCCTCCATCCAAAAGTCGTTTTTTTAAGCATCTCATTGCACTGATCCAGGATCCAAAATCACCCATCGTAATCGTCATCACGTATCCATCCCCGTATCCAAAGGCATTGGATCTCCTTGTACGCGATGATTCGAGCGAATTTGAATGGCACTGCTTCATTGTTGGAATCTCTTCAACCATGGCTGTCCTTTTGCAATTGCATGTTGTAGATCGAAACAAACACGGATACTATGTAGTGGGTTATGGAGCATAGCAATGATCTTGATGGCAGTGTGTAGCTTCCCTAAACAAACAACATGTCAACCACCAACCTTATCTCACATATCAAACCCATCCTCCTTTTACCTTCATATCCATGTTTCAACAGGAGTATCCAATCCACCTTCACAAAAAGGGTGTGTTGATCATGATGTTCAATGCGTGGTAGGCCTTCGGTATAGAGTGGCAGTGATGCTGGATAATGATAGATAACGCATGTCGCAATTGCTGAGGAATGCATATGATAGCTGCATAGAAGAGTGAACATGCGTTTCCGATATCGTGCAATAAGAAAGCTTCACTTACCACGCTATTGACAAGCATATCGAAAAGCTGTGCTCTCGTCAAAGTCTTTGATTTGTCGTTGGGATAATCGATCAGGATACCCTCTTGGAATAGATCGTGGCGAAAAGCAAGGAGACTTGTCACGTTGAGCGGCCGAACACAAGCTGTTGGAAGCCGTCAAAGCGATATCGTCAACATGGCATTGTAGCATAAGAGTCGAGGCGTTGATGGCTGTATTGGATGCTTTCTCCTGGTGTACTTGCTTGTATTGCGGCGTACTTGGTAGCTGATATGGCACCATCCATTTGAATCTGTATGTATCATAGCAAGTTGCTACACGTACATGAAGTTGCTCTCATACAATGGCTGTCTGCTGTGCACGTAAAAAAGGTGGCAAGGCAAGCTGCTGCAAGTGGCTTGAGGCATAGGGTGGACATGGCTAATAGCAACCACTGTAATGAACCCTACTTCGCTTGATCGTGGTAGAGGAATGTGCAAGAGCGTATGTTGTCTCAAGAGACTCGTGTGTTGTGTCAAAAGACTCTCGTGTTGTAGAAGAGTGACAAGAAGGCTGTGTCCACGCCATGGACTTGCCATTCAGTCAAAGACAAACGAATCAAGACATTCGTAGCAATGACATGATGGGTGTGTTGAAGCAGGACAATCGTTCTCAGGCGGTAGTTGTATAGTTGTATACTTGAATGGGGCAACACTTGAGAATGGGCGGAAGAGAAGAAGTTGTAGGAGTGGAAGAAGTGGAAATTAGATAATACGGACACCTCTTGTGTAAATGCATGAACACTGTACATCCAAACCTTGATAGTGAGATTGCCCCTCTCGAACCTGAAACTTTCACACAAGATGCCGTTGGGCATGCTGATCACCTTCATTCATTTAAAAGCTGCAGGCTTCATTGTAAAGATTCAAAATGCGGGGCGGGCCAAATGTTGTATGACGAGAAATAAGGAGCGGACAGCCCACCGCCCCGAAGTTGCCCACTTCCAACTTGAAAATTGGTCAGAAGGGTGCTCTCGAGCATGCTGATCATCTTTTTCTAATAAAGACCTCACGTTTCATTTGAAAATTTGGAATGAGAGCGTCCAAAAGTTTGAAAGACGGAGACATTCGCAGGGTCTGTCTCTCAAGAATTTTCATGTTTGCTGTTTTGGCGTAGCACAATCAAATCAGCTCAGATCAAGAAACTTGAATGATGGAAATGCTCGGCTGGAGCAGGAGCATCGTTCACATGCAGTGGATTTTGCAACAACGTTGATTGTGAGGAAATGGTCGATAGCGCGCAATATTGGACTATTGTAGATAGACCATAAAGTATAATCCATCAATCCTTCCAGTCATGCAAAGTAGCTGTGGTACACAGACACCTCCCCCTGCATCTTTTGCTCTGTCAGGGTCTAGCTACTTCACAATGAACAAAGACCTCTTTTCATATAGCATCACGCTTACAGCATATGTAAAACATAAAGGTGCCTGTATCTCTAAAATTTACAATGCAACGTGGGGTTTTTATTAGAGCAATGGGCTCGGCTTGGTCAACTGCACTCTGGGTGCCAGTTTCAAGTTCATCGTGGCTAATACCAGATTACGCAATGTCGCCACCAGCCAAACTGGATCCAGGGGTCGACCTCTTCGACGACGACGACCAAAAAATATTTTTGGGCTGTTTGCGACATTGAACGCAAAACTTTCACACAAGGTGCTGTTGGCCAAGCCGAGCCCATTGCTCTAATAAAAACCACACGTTTCATTGTAAAGTTTGGAGATACAGGCACGTTTATGTTTTACCTATGCTGTAAGCGTGATGGAGTTGCTTTTTCCTAGTGGATGGTGTCGGCTGCATTAACGGAAAGATGAAGAGCTGAGTGAAACCGCACGTGGTGGTTACACAGACACGTCCTTGACAGGTTGCTACACAAATGGATGATGATTGCCTTTTGTGAAGGTACGTAAGTAAACAGCATCCAATAATGAAGGTGTGTCAAGGTATGCATCACATTTGCATGTAGGAGAAGGTCGAGCTGCATAAACCAATTTGTATTATGTAGGTAAACCTACCAGTAACCAATCCAAATGATGGCTCAATGCACGGATCGCTTCACTTTTTCTCTTCTCAAGGTCATACCATTCCTCCTTATTGTATAACAAAAGCCATATACTTCTTGCATGACCTATAAACGGAACCACTTTTATTATTCCATCTTCGAAGCAACAATAGTATGTAATCCACAAGCTAGCAAAATCCAAGCGTGTAATAAACAAACAATGCTTTATTTCATCTAGCTATCTTGCTACATTGCCGCCATCGTGGTCTCCCTCGTCCATCAGATTCCTACTCGTACTCGTAGACTCTAATCTTGTGGACCAGTAAGCTTTAGCGAATGTAGCAGTGTTATGTCAAAAGAAGGGAAGCATCTTGATACGATTATGTAAATGATCCAATCTCGTTTCCCGACCTTCAAATTTCTATGTATCCGCCTTCTAATGAGAAACCACCCAAGTGATCCACATCTTGTACGTACGAGCTGATAATACGATACCCTTATGAAGTCCAATCCAATTCCATCATTCAATGAAGTCAAAGAGTAGCACATGGTTGTGAGGATGTTTATTGAGCAAATGTCATAAAGTGCAGCATTAAATAAAAGCGGGTGGGTTACATAGAGTGAACAGGGGTAATTGTGGCATCGTATTCATGATCGTTGCCGCCATAACCATCCTTCATCCATGATTGCAAAGTAGCTTCTGCATGCATTGAATCGAGTACTCCAATACCATCCATGGCTGTACAACACCTTTTGTCAAAGATCTAGGCCCGTTCCTCAATCCCATCCAATCCATCATCATCCTCAGCCGTATTCACTTGGTAAAATACATCCTTCCTGGGACGGCGTGCCAAGTAACCAAAACCAGATTCCAGGATTACCCATCACTGCGCTTGATTGCATTCATCCATCCATAGCCAATGCAAGTCCAACATGTTGATTGAAAGAGCCATGCGATCGCTGCTGATATGCATCCTTTCCCACCTATCGGTTGATCAATCCCTTGCTTCGTCGTTTTCCGTCGCAACCCGATCAGGTGACGATATAAGCTATGTCGTATACTTGAAGATTGCTTGCGTTGACGCGTACTTGAGAACACCAGTGGTTGTGATATATAGATAGCATCCTCCTTCTCGACCATCGCGTTGTATGTTACTAAATGATCCGTATTGTTAATCATGATGCTTGATCGATAGACCCATCCATTCTCTCTTGTACCTTGGTGGATTGATGAACGATAACACAAATCCCTCGTAGTAGCGTGCTGTTGGATGATGGCGCGTGTTTTAGGTACATGAAGAGGTGATGATGATGACTGGATCCCATGGCCGTTTTGTGATGGATAAAGCTGATCAACATGCTGCTGCAGTATCACTCAAAGAAGATGCATCCTGGAGCTGTTTGCTTGCTGTCACCAAGCTTGAAATAGAACTCGAGTCTTAGTTTCCTTGCGTGTTCGTCGCAGAACGCGTAAAGAATGAGTGCCGAAGTTGCCATGTAGACGCTGTCATCGTTTGGGAATGAATCGTTGCGAGGAAGTTGCTGTGGATGTCAATGTGCAGTAGAAGGAAACGCGGTTGAAGAAAACGTGAAAGAGAGAGAGCGCCAATTTTTTTTACTCTGCCCCCAAACATGCCGCTTTTTACTGCCTACGCATTACACGGCTCCCACTCGCCCAATAATGCAAGAGCTCTTTTCTCGTCACGTGAGAATAAACATGATCAAAAGCAATCCTCATTTATTGATTTCAAGGATAGACTTGCTTCATGATATTAGATCTACATATACTCTAAGTTTTCCATCATGTTTAGTATGCTAACAAGGACTCACCTAAAAGGCGTAATGAATGTCTCGTAATACATCATTTGTCAACCATCACTGACCATATAGCGATAAGGATGAACGAGTGAACGTTTTATCCGTCTACCCATAGTGAACAAGCCTTTGCCACATCAGCAGTTGCAGCTATCAAGGGTCCTTCTTGGTTGGCGTCATCAAATTGATACATCATGCATTGCAGCAAATAAATCCGATCTTGGTGCGAGAATATGGGCTTAGCGAGAAAACTTTCAACGCATTTGTGCACGTATACTTGAGAAATGATATCCACAAGGAAGAAGGGCCGCTTCCTGTACTGATAACAAACAACGCTACGATGATCCACCAATAAGACACGTGCTGCAAATAGCTGATTTCGAGAATATTAAACCGAGCACACCTCATCATCATGGCCCCAAAGTGTATACAACAACGGTAGCTTGATGGAAAGATAACCCTATAAATGGTATATTACAATTCATCTTTGAAGTAATAGAATGACACTTAGCAATGCCTGATGATGCCATGGAAGATACAACTACACTATGGGTAAGAAAACCTATGCATTTCACTTTTGTAGAGGCGCCATTCATTTGCCCAAGGTGGCAACTTCGCTCATTGCCATGGATACCGACATGGCAACGTATCTTAAGCCATGCCCTATTTTCCGGTGCTATCGTCTCACAGTGTTTCACGTCCAAGGCAAACAAGTTGGGTTGTCACACGAAATGGTATGTATGCATTAGGAGAAGACATTTACTTTCTAGGCTGATATGATTTCATGCAGCTAGCTTTCTACTCTACCAAGTTGAGTTGACCACATCCATTGGAGGGTTGAGTTCCTTTGTGTTGAAATTCCACCGACAAGTCATGTTTTGCTTCGACTTCACCTCTTTGCTGTTACTGCCTTGTTCGACGCGCATGCCAACACACCCAACGAATGACCACAGAAGATAACGTTTACTGGTACCGATTACTGAAGCCCAGCAATGTCACAGTTCAACATGGTAATGACGGCAACCGAATTGCAGCAGCAAACGAGACTGTTCAGCGAACACTATCACAATTGGTCCAAGTCCTTAATGAACGTGCCAAGCTTTTTGCCAACAGCGCCCAGTTTGAAGCAGCGTTACGCGATGCAGCAGCCATAAGAACCGTATTACCATTTTCAGGGCTTGGATACTTGGCTACAGGAGATGTGTACTGTCAGCAAGGACGTTATGCAGCAGCGATTTCCATGTACGACCAAGGGCTTAGAAGAGTACCTGAAATAGGTCAATATTATCAACAGCTTCATCAACAACGCGAGAAAGCAGTAACCAACAGCAACAAACGTGTCGACTTTATCAGCCGATTGCCATTGGATATCGTTGTCACCAATATTATACCCAGGGTGGAGCGCAAGTTCTATTCTTATTCATCATCCGAGTACCTTTATGTATCACGTACCTGGCAGGAGCGTTTCTTGCAGCAACCTAATGGCTTGGCTTTTGATTTTGGCAAAGAGACGGCCACCTTCAAGAGGGGCCATGATCAACTTGTCCGATTCGCACCCTATGTTCAAAAGTTAAAAGGCAAAATGATGGAGGATGCAGAGTTGGAAGATCTCTTTTCCCGAGGACGCTTTTCCAATCTTAGGAACTTGGATTTATGCTGTGAGTATCGGTGTTATGGAGTATGTGGCAAACTTGATGCTAATGGCATTTATCTTAGGTAGTGGCACCACTCTACGGCACCCATTAGTCAATGGTCTTCGACTGATTGCTGATTCTTTGACCCACTTGGCCATTCATCACAGCACATCCATCCAATTACGTGATATCCTGGAATCTTGCCCAAATCTTGTGTCCTTGACAACAACGCAAGTGGATGCAGTTGTGCCTATGTCACCATCATCACGCTATCCCAAGTTGAAAAACCTAGCACTGTACTCGCTATCAGACAACGATCTCACCCATGGCAATATGGTGGATGTCCTTAGTCGATTCCCTTCTTTATTATCACTCGAAGTTCTTCCAATGCCGGAATCCAGTGTCTTGCCAATTCTACATGAACATTGCCCATATCTTCAAAGGGTTTGTTTCGGTGTCAGGGATGATTTCATCGACAACATGAACGTTCAACCTCTTCGAAAAGGGATCAGGCGGGCTTATCTTGGAGAAGAGGATAATGACATCGCCTATAGGCAAGATGATTTGATCCAGTTCCTATACCATCACCGAAAGTCATTGGAGACCATTGACATTGGTGTCAATATTGACGACTGCTACCCTATTGAGAATTACAACAACCCTTTGGCAACATTGAATGGACAAGAAGTACAACAGGAGGATAACCAAGGAGATGATGGATCTTTACAACCTGATAACGACGAGTCGGATTCTTCATTTATGCAGCTGATCAACCTTCGTTTTTCGAATTGGGATTTTCATTCAACAGAAGCCTTTCTCACATGGTTGGTAGTGAAAGCACCCAATCTCAAAGCCATCCATCTCCCCCAGTCGCATCTTCATCCTCGTATCGCGAAAGTCTTATGCCAGTCAAAGTTTTCCAAGTTAGAGATCTTTCGTGCAGCAAGACGAGAAGACGATGGTGTCACACAATTCCTGGAATATCATATTGGCCTCGGGGAACAATCAACACTCAAAGAAATGATCATGCGCGTGGATACGGATATGGCAAAAATCCTATGGCTGCCCCTGATTTTCAAACTGAGGTGCCTCAAGAACTTGGAATTAAAAGCGTATCGTATCTCCATAGCTTGCAAACCCGCTTGGGAAGAGATCGGTGAAGGCTGCCACGCTCTAGAAAAATTGACTCTGGGTGTGGATGGTTCCGAATTTTATGAAGGTATCCTACCGCCTTTGTGTCACGTTCCGAATCTCAAATGGCTCAGACTTTCAGCACGAGGGCTATCCTATACGGACTTGCTGTGCCTGCTGGCATTTCCAAGTTTAGAAGAAGTCTCTTTGCGACATAGCATTTCAGATTCTAGTTTCAATCTCTTGCGTACGCATTTACCAAAGGTTACGATGGATGATCAAGATGAAATAGATGATGATGATGATGATGAAGTGGATGATGATGATGATTTATAACCTGATTGATAAAATAAAGATCTATTTAATGCATACGATTACTTTACAGCCCTCCCCTGTTGTCGATTACAAATTCAATCACTTCCCTCGTCCCAACCTCTTGAAATGAAATGAATGAGAGGATTAAAGTCATAAAGTTACATTGTGCATGACGAGTGGAAAGAATGTGAACATACAAAGGGGATAAAGAGAACCATGATCCCACAAGTTTACAATCACACAACAGGAACCCATGGCCAATCCTCATTGTATACTCTTCATCCGTATACAACACCTCCACTGTAACCAGTATTCTCATCATTGTGAAGCTCTCCCGTTACTTGATCCATCCATAACCATAATCCTCACGATGCCATCCACATCTTGTAAATCCATGATATCAGCAATACCCAACCACTACTGCCATACCCCCCCAGCAAGCGATCCTTTGCATAGTGTATGTCGCGAAGCAGATGTATTACCGATTTGGAATGTTGTGATGACGCAGGGGGCTACCAAGTCTACCTATAGGCGAATGGATCATCCATGGCTTTCATCGTCTCGTTGTTGCAAGTGGTAGTGGGGTAATGTCCATGACCCATAGGATGCTAATAGGTCTTCTTAATTGATGCGTTCCAATATCTTCATGCAATTATCCTCATCAGAAGCAGCAAAAAGCAGCAGCCTATTGTGAGTGTGTGATCAACATGCCTATATCCAGCCATCAACCTCGTAAGTACAAACTCCTCTGACATTGCTGTCCATTTTTTTGAGGCTCCTTTGTTGCATTCAGACCTACGCATACACTCACACACGACACAACGAATGACAGCCATAGAGAACATTGCCTGGTCTGAATTACTGAAGGACCCCATTGTCACAGCTGAACATGGTAATGACGGCAACTGCATTGCCACGGCAACCGAGACTCTACAGCAAACAGCCCACCAACTCGTCGAGGTGCTCAATGAACGTGCGAGACTTTTAGCCAACAGTGCTCAATTCGACGCGGCTTTACGGGATGCAGCAGCTATACGAGCCATATTACCAGGATCAGGGCTTGGATACTTGTGTACAGGAGATGTGTATTGTCAACAAGGTCATAATGCAGCAGCGATTTCCATATATGATCAAGGGCTTGAAGCAGTGCCTGAATCGGATGCCTATTATCAGCAGCTTCAGCAACATCGGATGGCAGCAATAAACATCAGCAACAAACGTGTCGACTTCATCAGCCGGTTACCATTCGATATCGTTACCACCAATATTATACCAAGGATGGAACCAAAGTTATATTCGCATTCGTTGTATGGGCCTCTTTATGTATCGCATGCATGGCAGGAGCGTTTCTTACACCAACCTAACGGCTTGGACTTTGATTTCGGCAAAGAGACGACCACTTTGATGACGGGTCATGATCAACTTGTTCGGTTTGCACCCCGTGTTCAAAAGTTAAAAGGCAAAATGGTGGGTGATACCCGTTTGGATGATCTCTTTTCTCGGACGCACTTTTCCAATCTTAAGGACTTACATATACACTGTGAGTATGGATGATAGAATTTATGTGTATTCGAATGACACCTTATTCCTTTCGCTAGGTGATTTTAAAACCCGTGATTATCCAGTATTACATGGCCTACAACTGATTTCTGATTCATTGACGCACTTGACCATTGCTGGGTATCAGAAATTCGAATTACGCGATATCTTGGAATCATGCCCAAACCTTGTGTCTCTGGACGTGGAGCGTGCATATCCTCTTATGTCTTCACCGGTGTCATCATGTTATCCCAAGATCACGCACCTGGCACTTAATGACGTATTGAATGAAGCCCGCAGTCATGATGATATGATTGGTGTCCTCAGTCGGTTTCCTTCGTTGTTGTCATTTAAAATTACGCCAATGCCCAACTCCAGCATCTTGTCGATCCTACACGAGTATTGCCCTTATCTACAGGTCCTTTATTACGGGTACAGAAGTTATTCATCAAAGAAAACTGATGTTTCACCGAATCGAAAGGGCGTTAAGTTGGCTGATTTTGGAGAAGAGTATGACAATGGGTCCATTATGCAAGGTGACCTTGTACGATTCCTCTATTCGAATCGGAATTCATTGGAAGCGATTGAATTTGGCTCTCCTTTTGAGGCAGGCGATTTCGATTGGGGTTTGGTGAATGATATTGCAGTAAGTACAGCAGAGGGGATGATTGAGATACATCACCTTAATGTCCTGAAAATGACCCAATTTAGCCAGAGACTTCATTCATGCAACTGGTCAGCATCAATTTTACGCATGGCATGCCAACTTTATCTTCTGTTGTTGTTGCATGGTTGATATCGAACGCTCCCAACCTCGAAGACATCGGTCTCCATGAATTGTATATTAAACCCAATGTCGCAAACGCCATGATCAAGTTGAAGCATCTTTCCAAGTTATATATTAATCAGGGATATAAGGATGATGACGATGACGACGAAGGCATGATTCAGTTCTTGGAGTATCATATTGGAATGGGCAATGGGTCAACGCTCGAAGAAATCACCATAGCCACCTCAACGTTGAAGGCTGAGACAACGTGGATACCTTTAATTGCCAGGCTACAATGTCTCAAAAAATTGGAATTGCTCGCTCTTTCCATTCACAACGACTGCTTACCAGCAATGGAAACGATAAGTCAAGGCTGCCAAGCTCTAGAAGATTTAACTCTTGGTTGGCGTACTGGTTGTCACGATTTTGGTCTCGGCGTCATTTCCTCGTTCTCTCAACATTCGAATCTTAAATACCTTACTATTGGCTCTTCAAGGACCGTAGATCCTTCCGACCTTGTGATTATGGTCACATTTCCCAGCTTAGAGCGTCTCTACCTTCACTGTGATGTTCCAACAAATATAATGAATGTTTTGCGTAAGCATATATCGAAAATCGCGATAAATAAAGTATAACACACCATCCAATAATCCTTCTTTTGGATCATGTTCACCTTCTACATGCTTACATTAAGTTAAAATATGCATGTAGGCATTGAATAGCAACATCATCATCATCATCATCATCATCAATAAGAAAGTTTGGCACATTGCAGCTTTATTGTCACAAAAAGAGGACCAAAAGTAATCATACTATCTCAAGATTACACACCAAACATCTATGGGTCCTATGCCAGAAATAGTCAACACATACGAACACGTCTATGCAAATGACAAAGTCTCATACAAAACGCCGTAAATCATCCTGCTGGTCAATCTTGTTTTACGTATATAATGGAAGCTCTTGTTGTGATGTAGCTTGAGACGGTTATTTGTTCTCACACGATCATGCGATTGTAAGCTTAGCGCTGCATGCAGCTTATAAACCAGTGAAGCACGATGAATAAACAAGAGGCTCTCTTCCCGATTTCATACCTTGGGGTACGGATGGACACGGTATTGTCAACGCGCTTTTTGCCCTATTGGTATTGAATGAAGGAGACGTTTACGCACGCTTTTTCTATTCTTTGACGTTATGTGAGAGTCTCCCTTGTGCATCTTATCCCCATGTACATTGTATACGGCGTTCGTTGTGTGTGGTGCTTAGTTAGCGTACACGCTGAGCATCACGGCAGTGCAAGATCGCATTGCAACACTCTCATGCAATCATCCACCAATAGGATTGAACCTTCACGTCGGATTTGTTACACACAGCAGTTCCTCCGTCACTTGATCCACCCAAAGCCCCAATACTCACAATCCCATCCACATCTTGTAAATCCATGGTATTGCCAATATCCAACCCTTACTGCACAAGATCCCAGCAAGCAATAGTGTATGTCACGAAGCAGGTGTATTACCGAGTTTGAATGTTGTCGTGATACAAAGGGGCTACCAAGTCTATCTATAGGCGAATGGATCATCCATGGCCTTCATTGTCTCGTTGTTGAACGTGGTAGTGAAAAAAATAGCGTCCATGGTCCATGGGATGCTGCCGATAAAAGAAAACGTGTATGTGTTGGCAAGAGAGGGTCCTTTCAACCAGCAGATCCAATCATTCAATCCATCATCCTCAGCATCATCCACTTGAATTTTGCCATAGTCGATCCAAAGCTGCAGCCATATCAAAGCACCATTCAGAAGTTGAAGATCGCCACTTGGTCCCGAATCTACTCACCCTCATGTTGGTTGGCATATCACATCATGCTCTTGAAGAAAAGTGATTGCTCCTCCAGTTATCCTTGTCATTGTATATCGCCCAAAAGACCTTTTCAAACTGCTTTCTTCGAACACGAGTGCCCATAGCCAAATAAATGACGCATCATCATCCTTCATCTCCCTGATTCATGATGATCGTATTAGACAAGACCATTCTAGTGGTATTCCATGTCATTCCATTATTTACCTTGGTATATAGATGCACTTGAATATGAGTACATGGGTATGTTGTTATACCAATTCAAGCTGTCTCACGTGATTCACAATGTCGATCATGGGCGAAAACGCTTGTAAGCAAAATGACGCGTGCAAAAGGCCTGGCCGTATAATCCAATACGTTCGCGCCACCAATAAAGCTTGTCAAAGATCGTATACTGAAAGAGATGCTGTTCTTTGTATGTTGGTTGAGTAATTCTGGCAAATCAGTCGTTAAGAAGGTGGAATGCATTGTGTCATCTGCTGTGGAAAGAAGTAGCTGTTGCAAGTGTCATTGGGAGCGATTGAGGGCGGAGGAAGGCAAGGTTGCTGTTAAAAAGATTCCGGTGAGCACGTCGCCATGCTCTTTCTCTATCAGAGTAGCCAGGTTACACACCGCCCCTTCTAGTCATATTCGCGACCACGCATAAACGAATGGCGGTCATACATATGCCCGAAAAGATTCGGTTGCTTTCATGTGAGTAACTTCATACACTCCTTTGATGCATGTTGGGAATACAAGCTAAAAGTTGACCTTTTTCCATGAACACTATTAACGTATTCATTTGGTGGAGGAGATCATACACAAATGGACAATTGTGCCACCCACTCGCTCATGCCCCATCATTTTACCGCATACGCCCAACCCATCCAAATCCTCAATTAGGAAACTATGTCAACATCAATCCCTTTACACCATCATCCACATGAAGCATATAAATAAGCACGCTCAATTGCAATAATACATCTTAATATCATTCCCGTTTTATCTTCATCTCCTATGAAATCACTGCTCCTTCATTAATAAAAACCCCATCGCATATCTTAATAGAGCCATCTTTACTATGTAGAAACAGCGAGCATCAACATGTGTGTAACTAGCCATCAACCACAGTAGGTATATAGAAACTCCTCTGACGGCAATGTCTTTTTTGCTATTACTTACCTTTGTTGCACCCGGACCAATATACACACCCAAACACGACACGCACGAATGACCGTGGAAGAGAACATTAGCTGGTCTGAATTACTGAAGCACCCCATTGTCACGGCTGAGCATGGCAATGACCGCAACCGATTTGCAGCAGCAACCGAGTCTCTTCAGAAAGCAGCACACCAATTCGCCAGCGCCCTTAATGACCGTGCCAAGTTGTTAGCCAACAGCGCTCAATATGATACAGTTTTACATGATGCAGCAGCTATAGTTACGATATTACCAGAGTCAGGGCTTGGATACTTGTGTATGGGAGACGTGCACTGTCAACTAGGACGTTATGCAGCAGCGATTTCCATATACGACGAAGGCCTTGAAGCAGTACCCGAATCGGATCAATATTATCAACAGCTTCAGCAACATCGAATGTCAGCAATAACCAACAACAGCAAACAGGTCGACTTCATCAGCCAATTGCCATTCGATATTGTCACCATCAACATTTTACCAAGGATGCAGCCAAAGTTCTATTGTGAATCATCGTGCGAATACCTTTATGTATCACGTGGATGGCAGCAGCGCATCTTGCAGCAACCCAATGGCTTGGTGTTCGATTTCGGCCGAGAGACCGATACCTTCATGAAAGGCCATGACCAACTTGTCCGATTCGCTCCTTATGTTCAAAAGTTGAAAGGCGATGTCTTTGCTGATGCAAAGTTGGAAGATCTCTTTTCTCGGGCCCACTTTTCCAATCTTAAGCACATGCATATATACTGTGAGTATGGATGGCAGTGGCTGTACTTGATATGGATTCGAATGACACATTTTCCTTTCATTAGGTCAATCTACAACCTTTCGTCTTCCATTATTGAATGGTCTACAACTGATTTCTGATTCATTGACGCACTTGGCTGTTGATGGGCGGGTGGATAATCTTCACTTACGTGATATTCTGGAATCATGTCCAAACCTTGTATCCCTGCGTACAGAGAGTGTAGACCCTGCCATGGTATCATTGCCAATATCATCATGCTATCCTAAGATCACGCACCTTGCGCTTCATGATGTACCAGAAGACACTGCTCTTGAGTATGATCATATGATTGGTGTCCTCAGTCGGTTTCCTTCTTTATTATCATTCGAGATTTCACCAACGCCCGACTCTCGCGTCTTACCGATTCTACACGAGTATTGCCCTTATCTACAAGTCCTTTATTTCGGGTCCACAAGCAAGCAATTAGGCGTCATTGATGTTCATCCACATCGAAAAGGAATCAAGTCAGCTCATCTAGGAGGCGAGTTTGGATACCTTGTTGCACAAGGTGACCTGATCCAGTTCCTGCATGTGCACAGAAATTCATTGGAAGAGGTTGAAGCTTGCGATGACATTGATGAATATGATTCATATTGGAAATTGGTGAATGGACAAGTGATAATACAAGCGGGTGATCGAGATGCACCACCACCTTTACGCTTTGGATACGACCCAACAACTCAAGCTGAGAATTCATTCATGCAACTGATCAGCATCGATTTTTCGCATTCCGAGTCATCTACATCGAATGAATTCGTCCTATGGTTGATATCGAACGCACCCAATCTCAAAGCCATCAATCTTCGCATTTCACATTTACGACATGATATCACAAATGCCATGATCAAGTTAAGGCATCTTTCCAAGCTAGAGATCGTGCGGTGGGTATGGGGAGATCATAGCGACTACTATGAAGGCATCATTCAGTTCTTGGAACATCATGTTGGAATGGGGGAAACGTCAACGCTCAAGGAAATCACTATAAGTGCGAGAACAATGGCGTTTGATGCAACATGGATACCCTTCATTTCGAAGCTACAATGTCTCAAGAACCTGAAATTACACGCTCTTTCCATCCCCGAAGACTGCTTGCCAGTCATGGAAAAGATAGGAAGAGGCTGTCCAGCTCTAGAGGATTTAACTCTCGGTGTGCGTGGTTGCGATATTGGTGACGGCATCATCTCCTCTCTTTGTCAACATTCGAATCTTAAATGTCTCAGGATTGGATCAACATCACTAAACCCTGGCACCCTTATCCTCATGACCATACTTCCCGGTTTAGAGAGTCTCTACCTTGAATGTAATGTTCCAGAGAGTGTCATGGAGATGTTGCGTAAGCACGTATCCAAAGCTATGATAAATAAACCGTAATACTGAATGAGGTATGCATTAGATAGTATCTTCGTGTAAGAGTCAATCACATTGTTTAACGACAACATCATCCCAAGCCCCCTCTTGAGTAACTTGATTTGAACGTTTGAGCTCCCGGTGATCAATAACACAATCCATCGCGTGATTTCATACACTCGAGCATAGGTTTTCCATCCCTATCACAAATAGCAAGAAATTTTATTCATCAATCATGTAACAGCTTAATGCGTGTGGTCAAGGGTGTGTGTAACCAGTATTTCAATGCATCAATCATTGTAGGTGCAAACTCCACTTCACATTGTTGTCTCTGCTCTTTTACTTTGTTTTGCTTACGCTCACACACAACGGCGGATGCCCATTCAAGACAACATCGACTGGACCGAATTGCTCAAGGACACCATTGTCACGACTCAGCATTGTAATGACGGCGACCGAATTGCAGCGGCAACCGAGACTCTACAGCGAACAGCCCACCAATTCGTGGAGGTGCTCAATGAACGTGCCAAGCTTTTAGCCAACAGTGCCCAGTTTGAAAGAGCGTTACAAGATGCGGCAGCCATAACAGCCATATTACCAAGTTCAGGGCTTGGATACTTGCGTATGGGAGACGTGTATTGTCAACAAGGGCATCATGCAGCAGCCATTTCCATATATGATCAAGGGCTTCAAGCAGTGCCAGAATCAGATGCCCATTATCAGCAGCTTCAACAATGTCGAATGGAAGCGGCAACCAACAACAGCAAACGCATCGACTTTATCAGTCAGCTTCCATTGGATATTGTCATCACCAACATTATACCAAGGATTACGTCCAGGACCTATTTTGAATCATCATGCGAATACCTCTTGGTGTCACGTGCATGGCAGGAGCGCATCTTGCAGCAACCCAAGGGCTTGAAGTTCCACTTTGGCAAAAACGTCCACACATTCAAAAGCGGGCACGTAAAACTTGTTCGATTTGCACCGTATGTTCAGATCTTACGAGGATATCTATGCGACCTTCATTTGGATGATCTCTTTCGTCGGGCTCATTTTTCAAAACTAAAAGATTTATGGTTACATTGTAAGTATGAAACACCACATGCATAGGATGTAAATGATGCGAATTATTCATATTGCTTCTTCTATTAGGTAATGATACAACTCCCCACCGCCCGTTTATCAATGGCCTAGAGTTGGTTGCCCATTCACTGGCCCGCATGACCATTCGTGGTAGTTGCTCTTCTATTGAATTACGTGATATTGTGGAGACTTGTCCAAATCTTGAATATATGGAAACGTGTGGAGTGGATGTCACGATGCCTTCGTCGTCTACAGCAAGTTATCCCAAGATGACACACCTATACCTTTACGAGATATCAGAATCAGCTCTCGCCTATGATAATATGGTCGATGTCCTTAGCCGCTTTCCATCGTTGTTGTTACTCGGAGTGTCGCCAATGCCTGAATCCCGTCTTTTGACTCTCCTGAAGGACCAGTGTCCTTATCTTCAGAGGCTTTTTTATGGTCCCGAACCGCTTGATTATACACCTCCAGACCCAATGACTGTTTACCCGAATCGCAGAGGGGTGGTATCGGCCCATTTAGGTGGTGGCTCCTATGATCAAGACGATCTGATCCGATTTCTGTACCAGCAAAGAAGTTCTCTGGAGATGATTTTTTTTGATGGCAAGATTACAAAGGATGACGATGCCATTTGGGAAATATTGGATGGGAGAATATTGGAAAGCAATATTCGAGGAGGAAGCATTGATGATGATGATGATGACCCATCACAACAACAATCAGAGGCATCTTTCGTGCGACTAGTCGACTTTGATTTTTGGGTGATGAACGAGACCCCATCTACACCTTTCATGCAGTGGATTCTATTGAACGCTCCCAATATCAAGACTATCTGCATCCTTGATTCAAATTGTCAACCCGATATCGCAGCTGCCATGAGCAACTTGAAGCACCTGTCCAAAGTGGTATTCGATACAAAAAGAGGCAGCATCGACAACATGGGGATCCAACAGTTCCTGGAATACCATATTTGGACAATGGGTGACGCTTCAACACTTGAAGAAGTCGTTGTGTACATGAAAGATATGTCTGATGTCGCGTGGATACCTTTATTGTACCGATTGAAACGTCTCAAAACTCTCATGTTACTTGCTAGCACCATTTCCGAAAATTGCGTATTATCAATGCATGAGCTATGTCAACGCTGCCCTGCGCTCGAGGATTTAACCCTTGGCAAGGATGGGTGTGAAATGGCGAATGGTCTTTTGAAGCCTTTGCGTCGACATCCGAATCTCAAGTACCTTAGTGTTTCAGCAAGATCTTTATCCGAGAACGACCTTACTGCTTTGTGTGCATTCCGCAAGTTAAAATACCTCTATCTTCAATGCCCCGTTCCAAAGTATTTGCTTGAGATATTGCAAGACCATATACAGGATGTTGAGATTGATAGTGCATAGTGTAGTTATCTCATGATAAAATCAACAGTTGCTTTTCTTTTATGGTTGTGCCTTTGTGTGTGAGAGTTGTTGTGGTTGCTTTGTAATACGATCCTATGTATAAGTATCATAGGATTGGTACCCATCATCGTCTACATTTCAAAAGTTAAATCGATTGTACTCCTATTGACAACTATGGATGGCACCTCCTCATTCTTACTTTCCTAGACTTCTACATCTTTTTGTTTTAAGATACGTCATAATGAGGATGCTGCCTTTCCTTCCCCTCCTCTTTAAACCATCATGCACTAAACCCAATGATCCCAAACGAGCCACGTGATTGACATTGCGTGACATTATGTCAAGACCATATTATACATAATCCATCTATCTGTCACACCAACAACTGTATGCTGATTAAACTACACTGCAACGTTTTCCATGGTGGGTTCTACCAAGAGGTTTATGTAAAAAACGAAACCACTGCATATTTCTAGTTGATGTCATGATCCCTTTGCCCTCGAAGTATTGGTCCAATGCTGTGGCCCATTGATAGCACTGCACGTTGCATACATCATCATAATAGCCTGCCTTTTGCGTCATCCCAGGTATCCCATATGGTGGCGGTTGGTATCCCATCCTTCATGTCCTTCTCATCCAAGCCTCCCTTGCTTCCTCAGTTGTCGCTGCATTTGATCGTACAAGCCTTTGATCATGCTAACATCCCAAAGCATTGTAGTAAACTTTGATTGTGGAGCACCTGTATATCGCAACGTCAACGCCACTATAACATCCAGCTGAAAAAGGTATACCCTAGTGAGAAGTTGTTTCTTCTTGTCAATGTACCACGCCATCCTCCTTTTACCTAATACATGGGAGCAAAAAGCTGCTGTAGCGACAGGCACCCTGGTGCACAAAAGGTGACGATCCATAACAACGTCGCCAAGTGGTGGATAACCTTGCAAAACCATGTCCATAATCCTCATCTTCCAAGCACCAAAGATCCAGTTGTATGTTGTTAACTGCTTGCTGCTTCAGTCATTCAAGGACACTGATTTGTTGCATCCCATACGCAATCCTTTGGTCGGTATGAAATTCGAGTACAGGTACCCGTTGCAAATGATGTTGTGGTGAGCATGGATCAGCTGGGAGGCGGGGTTGTGAGTTATAGCCTTTGGAGTTGAAGCCATATCTGAAGATGGTATCCTCCTGGATAGATCATGACAATCGAGCTTGGAAAGAACGCGATGCCGTTGTTCTTTTTTGGTGTTCTCATTTGTGGTCTCGATCACGTTGTTGTTGCTGTGTGCCCACTTTCCAAATTCATCTCGCTTGTGCTTGATGCTCATCGTTGATACCTTCGTTATCCATTCCACAAGGTGCACACCTCGACCTCTCTCTCCTGAATCGGCTCAGTATCCATGGACAACCAAGCACCATGTTGTCGTCAGTCATCCATAATGACATCCAAGGCGTTTATCCGATCTCCATACGCTCATTTGCCAAAGCCTTCAATCTTGCCATGATGTCGATTTCAATAACGTGTAGCATTCTCAAAGTGCAATATGGATTGATGTCGTATCACGTGCATGCAATGTCGAAAAGCTTTTCTTTTGCCATTGGTTGTGTACGCATGAAAGAAACTCCTCGCGTGTTCCATCGCCTGCTGATAAGGTGGCATCATCCACCATCAATATCCATATCTGGTGTAGCTTCAAAGTATGATGAAAAAAGTCAACCATCAGCCCTTCTTTCGCAATACATCACCCCATCCACTCGTTACCTGGATATCCAACATCAAAATTGAATAAATGTTGGCACATGCAAACTAGAAATCCACAACACGAGACAACGTCCTGCATCATACACACGTGAGAAGATTACCGAGATGATGATATCCCATCATCCTCTTACCTTGGTAAATGGGTTGACACGTGGTATCATGAAGAGATGAACATGTTTGTTGTATAGTGAATAAAGCTGCTGTATATGCATCGTCGACATGTTGCAGTACTGCGCCAAAAGCCTCTTGGAAACCATTTACTATAGATCAATAGCTTTGACTGCCGAGCAAGGACACAGCCGTTGGTGTTCAATTACGTGTTGTTGAATAGTAATGGCTGAGTCGCATTGGTGCCCATGTACATGTGTCATGTTGGGAGGGAAGTGGTAGTTGAGAATGCCAATGTCAAGTGGAGTGGGAAGAAGAGTAGACGTGAAAGAAAGAGCGGCATCCCATAAACAATGGCTGCCTTACACCCCCCCCCCTATTTCACTAACAACGCGTTACACGAACCTTGCACATCAACCCTCATGACTTCAATTATGGCAAAAGCACAAGCAATCACCCAAGTCATTTTATTGACAATTCCTTCGTGAGTGAGGATAGAGTCGGTGCCTTCCTACCTAATGTTGGAATTGGGTCTGCATAGATTTCAACCAGCTTCGTGTATACATCACCGATTGTTTCAGCTTCCCGTAAATCGAATTCGTCTGCACTATCAACCCATCTTGAATATTTAAGTGGAAGTAAATCATCCAGCTTTGACAACAAATGGCTCCAGGCAGCATTCGGATCCTCCACCCTTGGGATTTTGATCTGCATCATTCCTAGCACCCCATAAACGTAATCAGCCGGATCATAGCAACGTCGTTTGGAATAACGCAATGACAACATTATCAATTGAAATCTTGCGGTAAAGTCATCACCGCCCTTTCGGTCTGAAGTGGACGTCTTAGCACATGTGATGCCCTGGAGAATTGAATAAATTTCACGGGCTGCATCTCCTAGCCAACCAGTTAGCAGTGTGATCAATCACAACAATTCAAGCATCCCATACAACATACCATTTCGTTCGTCAGATGCTTGTACCTTATATACCTCACGACCGAAATAATCCAATTCATTCAGCGTAATTGTGTTGTTTTGGAATCCGTGAGCGTCTGTTTCAGCCATAAAACGCACGTCTCCTAGAGGTAGAGCCATCTCCTGCCAAGTCCATACGCGTTGCCACCATCCACTTTGCAAGAATGTTCCCAAGAGTTTGATCAACCAGGGTCCTTTGATTAATGATAACCGCTGGGGATGAAATAGTGGTGTTGGTGCTGCAAACCATGATCCCAAAAAAGTGTTCTCTTTCTTGAGAAATTTCGATAGCAGACTTGGCTCACAATCGATCATGGCAACACATTCAAGGCAACAAGCATAGATATCGCCCATAATATCCAAGGGTGTATCGGTACGTGCACATAAGACATCGATCCACCAATAACTATCAGGATGTGACTTGAGCAATGCAAGTAAGGTATCACGTTTTTCAGGTCGCATCGAAACAGGAGCTGCAGGTTGTCCTTGTTCGTCATCCACATAGTCACCAATCTCGTGCCAAAGATATCGGTTGTTTTCTGTGAGCCCCCAAAGATGTGACAATGCATAATAACATGATGGAACAGGTCGTCCGGGTCGTCGTTCATTGACTATTTTGATCATGCGTCTTCGGTGATATGCGTCATTGGCAGGCCGTACAATTTGCATCTTGGCTCCATTGTGATCCGGCACATAAAGCAGTAAAAAGTGTTCGTCGGCTAAGAGTGCACTAAGCGCTTTTTCAAAGTACTCTTTACGGTCGCGGAATTTATGCAAAAATTGTAGATCCTTTATGTCGATCTATATAAAGTTGCTAACGTCATTATGATATGGATCTATGAGGATGCCATGGACATGCATACTTTGTAAGGGTCGTTGTACTCGTCAGCATTGCGTGTCATTATGAAAAATGAGGAAAGAGAAGACGTGTGAATTGGATGCTGTGCGCGGCGGGACACTTTATAGTGTCTTGGTGCGCCACATGCAAGGAGGTAACACACACACCCCTGAGTGAAAAAGGAAACATTCATGCATGAGCAAACATCGAGCCACCTCTAATTCTTTACTACCCCCAACCAAAAGCTCACAAAGACAACCAATTTATGAAGCTGTGGGGATCTTGTAGTGAGAAGTACATAAAATGTGTATTGATGAAGGCGCTTGTATGTCAAACTTTGAAGAAGATACTTGGTCTCCGTGTTTAGGAAGGCGCATCACACGTAGAGTGACACAAGGATCCAACTTTATTCCTGGCATGCATGTATGTACACTGCAATGAGTATCATGAATCACCGTTACTGAATGGATAAGCTTCCTCATATCCATCATATTGACTGACAGCCGAGAAACGAATCAGAATGGCGTTTACAATAACCATGATGGTATCAATGATTCCAAATCCGAGCCTAGGTCGTCCATCATAATCTGTCCCAAGTCATTTCATTACAATTCCATCCCATTTACTCATTCTCCTCCTCCTTCCAATCAGCCATGTGTAAAGCCAACAATGATAATCACCCGAAAAGAAACCATGTAATCCAAATCACCAAACAATGCAAACCTCCATTGATGAAGAAAAGTATATTGGGACGAAGACCTGCATGTGCTGTTGATGTATAAACATATCTTGATAATGGGGCTAGCTACGGGTGTCATTGTCCGTGGTCTCTTCCACTATGCAACCAAGGTGGTCATTGTAGCTGGCATGACTTCGATCTCCATATCCATCTCGTTTCGTTCCTGATTCTTGGTATCCTCATCATCCAATCCTCCATCCAAAAGTCGTTTCCTTTCCCTCATCTCTTTAACTGACCCGGTATCCAAGCAACCGTCGTAATTGCCATCACGTATCCATCACCGTATCCAAGTGCATCGCGTCTCGCTGTACCCTTTAATTGAAGGGATTCATCATGCAGCTGCCCGGATTCCAATAGAGAGTGATGCTTGCAGCGAGTTGCTTTGAATGGTATGGTGCTTCATTGTTGGGATGTCGTCAACCATAGCTCTCCTTTTGCCGTCACATGCTGTAGCTCGAAACCACCCGCCGATACTGTGTAGTGAGTATGGAGCATAGCCATGACCTTGGTGAGAGTGACAGCTTCCCTATACAAACAACATGTCAACCATCTTCCTTCTCTCACATATCCAATCCATCCTCCTTTTACCTTAGTATTTCCATAGTTTAACATATATAAATCTTCTTCATAGGAGTATCCAATCCATCTTTACATTCAATAAGGTTGTGTTGACCATGGTCTTCAACGCGCGGTAGGCGTTCGATTACTGAGAAGGCATAAAGGGTGGTTGTGATGCTGGATGATGATCGGAACACATCGCAATGGCTGAGGGATGCATATGATCGCTGCATAGAAGAGTGAACATGCGTTTCCGATACCATGCAAGAAGAAATCTTCACTTACCACGCTATTGACAAACATATCGAAAAGCTGTGCTCTCGTCAAAGTCTTTGATTTGTCGTTGGGATGATCGATCAGGATACCCTCTAGGAATAGATTGTGGCGAAAAGCAAGGAAGACATGTCACGTTGAGCGGCCGAACACAAGCTGCTGGAAGCCGTCAAAGTTCAATAGAGTCATAATGGCATTGTAGCATAGGAGTCGAAGCGTTGATGGCTGCATTGGCAGTTTTCTCCTGGTGTACTTGCTTGTATTGCGGCGTACTTGGTAGCTGATATGGCACCATCCATTTGAATCTGTATGTATCATAGCAAGTTGCTACACGTAAATAAAGTTGCTCTCATACAATGGCTGTCTGCTGTGCACGTAAAAAAGGTGGCAAGGCAAGTTGCTGCAAGTAGCTTGAGACATGGGGTGGACATCGCTAATAGCAACCACTGTAATGAGCGCTGCTACGCTTGGTCGTGGTAGAGGAATGTGCAAGAGCGTATGTTGTGTCAAGAGACTGGTGTGTTGTGTCAAAAGACTCGTGTGTTGTAGAAGAGTGACAAGAAGGCTGTGTACACGCCATGGACTTGCCATTCAGTCAAAGACAATCGGATCAAGACATTCGTAGGATTGACATGATGCGTTGAAGCAGGACAATCGTTCGCAGGCGGTAGTTGCTTGAATGGACCAACAGTTGAGATTGAGAGCAAGAGGGAACAACCTGAGAGGGGAAGAAGTGGAAATTAAATGGGCCCGACACCTCGTGTGTAAATGCATGAACACTGTACATCCAAACCTTGATAGTGAGATTACCAGTCTCGAACCTGAAACTTTCACACAAGATGCCGTTGGGCATGCTGACCATCTTCATTCATTTAAAAGCTGCAGACTTCATTGTAAAGATTTAAAATGCGGGGCGGGCCAAATGGTGGATGACGAGAAATAAGGAGTGGACAGCCCACCGCCCCGAAGTTGCCCACTTCCAACTTGAAAATTGGTCAGGAGGGTGCTCTCGAGCATGCTGATCATCTTTTTCTAATAAAGACCGCACGCTTCATTTGAGGATTTGGAATGAGAGCGTCCAAAAGTTTGAAAGACGGAGACATTCGCAGGGTCTGTCTTTCAAGAATTTTCATGTTTGCTGTTTTGGCGTAGCTCAACCAAATCGGCTCGGATCAAGATACTTGAATGATGGAAATGCTCGGCTGGAGCAGGAGAATCGTTCACATGCAGTGGATTTTGCAACAACGCTGATTATGAGGAAATGGCTGATAGCGCGTAATATATGGACTATTGTGGATACACACAAAGTATAATCCATCAATCCTTCCATCATGCAAGATAGCTGTGTTACAAGAACACCTCCCCCTGCATCTTTTGCTCTGTCATGGTCTCTCTACTTTACATTAAACAAAGACCACTCTTCATATAGCATCACGCTTACAAACATAAAGGTGCCTGTATCTCCAAACTTTACAATGAAACATGGGGTTTTTATTAGAGCAATGGGCTCGGCTTGGCCAACAACACCTTGTGTGAAAGTTTCACGTTCAATGTCGCAAACAGCCCAAAAAATATTCTTTTGGTCGTCGAAAAATGTTTCAAGAGGTCGACCCCTGGATCCAGTTTGGCTGGTGGCGACATTGCGAAATCTGGGATTGGCAAGCTTGATCGTGAAACTGGCACCCAAGGTGCAGTTGGCCAAGCCGAGCCCATTGCTGTAATAAAAACCCCATGTTTCATTGTAAAGTTTGGAGATACAGGCACCTTTATGTTTGTAAGTGTGATGCTATAAGAAGAGTGGTCTTTGTTCATTGTCAAGTAGGTGGACTCTGGCAGAGCAAAAGATGCAGAGGGTCGTGTTGTGTAACACAGCTACGTTTGCATGAATGAAAGGGTCAATGTATAATTACTTTATGGATCATCTAGGAACAGGCATGTATTGCTAGCTAACGGCCACTTTTATCCAATCATCATTGTTGCGAGATCCACTGCATGGGAACGATGCCCCTGCTCTAGACATTCATTTCCATGATTAAAGTAGGTTGATCCGAGCTGATTTGACTGAGCTGCGGTCAAAGAGAGGTTACATCACTCTGGACATAGAGCACGCTCGATGTAGCTCAACCGATGTAATCTTGTGTGAGCGTAACTCAACCAAATCAGCTCGGATCAACCTACTTTAATCATGGAAATGAATGTCTAGAGCAGGAGCATCGTCCACCTACAATAGAATGCACAAACGTTGGGAATGCACAAAAGTGGCTATTAGCTGCCAATGTATGACATAAAAGTGAGGGTTGCGTACCTTTCATGCATTGTCCCTGAAGTCCTGACTTTTTAGCTGAGTTACCCAAAGAGGTCCTTCTGCATCTTTAGCTCTCCAGGGTCTAGCTACTTGGCAATGAACAAAGACCACTTCTCATATAGCATCACGCTTACAAACATGAAGGTGCCTGTATCTCCAAACTTTACAATGAAACGTGGGGTTTTGAATAGAGCAATGTGCTCGGCTTGGCCAACTGCACCTCGGGTGCAAGTTTCACGATCAAGTTTGCCAATCCCAGATTTCGCAATGCCGCCACCAGCCAAACTGGATCTGGGGGTCGACCTCTTCGACGACGACGACCAAAAAATATTTTTTGGGCTGTTTGCGACATTGAACGCAAAACTTTCACACAAGGTGCTGTTGACCAAGCCGAGCCCATTGCTCTATTAAAAACCACACGTTTCATTGTAAAGTTTGGAGATACAGGCACGTTTATGTTTTACCTATGCTGTAAGCGTGATGGAGTTGCTTTTTCCTAGTGGATGGTGTCGGCTGCATTAAGGGAAAGATGAAGAGCTGAGTGAAACCGCACGTGGTGGTTACACAGACACATCCTTGACAGGTTGCTACACAAATGGATGATGATGATGATGATTGCCTTTTGTGAAGGTACGCAAGTAAACAGCATCCAATAATAAAGGTATGTATCAAGGTACGGGTATATCACATTTGCATGTAGGAGAAGGTCGAGCTGCATAAACCAATTTGTATTATGTATGTAAACCTACCAGTAACCAATCCAATGATGGCTCAATGCACGGATCGCTTCACTTTTTCTCTTCTCAAGGTCATA